CAATTAATTAGGGCGTCGAAGCGGGTTGCGCGTGTAAGCTGCGGCGTGTCGCGTCGCTTCGTTTCGGACGGAAGGCGAACACCGTTTTACCTTTGCCCGCTCTTTTCTTTTTTTTTTTTCTTCCGTTTAAAAGAAAATCCATTCGAACGTCGATGAGGGCGAACGATGGAAAGGTTTGAAAATATGCGACTGAAATTTAGTTTTTCGCGAATCGTGCCGACACGACTGATCCTAAATTGCTTAATTGGAAATTTAACGCATGTTAATTAACGTGTTTGGTAAACTCTGTGTTTGCAACGTTTCATTTCGAAATTTCATTATTACGGCCGGCAGAAAGTGCGCTTTCCAATTACCTACCTGGTCCATTTTCTCCCTCGAATGCCGCGGGGGTCATCGATGACTCGCGTTACCGGAAAATCGTCATGGAACCGAAGTAATTAGAAGGAAATCTTTAAAAGACTTACCAGATATCGTATCTGTTCCTTACGATATCGGGGAAAAATTTGAAATTAGCTCGCTTTTTTTCGTTGGAGTGATTTTCGAAATAAATATTCGCGATACGATTTTACAGGAATCGCGTAATTCTCCAGGCATTTCGATAAAACAGTCGATGGACTTTTCCGGCATTTCCGAAAGAGCTGATTCCAGATTCTGTCCGTACGCTCTCGACCTTCTGCTTTTATTTACTCATTTCCCTGTGCAATATTTAAATGATCCACGAGCAGAGTTTCGAGCACCTTCTTCGGATTCTCCTCTTCCCCGTTCTTCCGTTCCCTTCCCTTCCCTTCCCTTCCCTTCCCTTTCCTCCTCTGCCACTCAACTACATCCTTCTGTTTTGCATATTCTTTTGCGCTCGAGACGCCGGGGGAACACTCGTCGGACGTTAAAGCCATCGACATAATTTTTTGGTCCTTCAATATTTCATGAGATTCGTCTCGAACGTCCGACTCCTCTTCCGAAGAGAACCTTGCGAATTTTCGACCGATTAATCTTTCAACTCCGTCGACGAACGACGGCGCGGCGTTGAACGTTCAACGAATTAGCCGTTACTATACCGCGGGTTTTTCGAAACACGCGCAAAGGTATTATATCGACATTACAGAAACATTTGCAATCTGGTCATAGTCGTCGCATAAATTTCCTCGGTTCTCTTTCGAATACGGAATTCCTACGCGACGGATCATTTCGATATCGAGTTTGTCACGCTTGTCGGACGCGCTACGAACGAGTAGCCTTTTTTTTTTTTAAGCAAGGACGTCGACTTGGAAAGATCCGTATCGAGAGATACGGATGTCGTAAAAGAACCCTTTTTTCTAGTTGTTCGCGTTTCGTTCGCGTTTCGTTCGCGTTTCGTTCGCGGCCGAGTCGTCGAACATTTGACGGTTAACGAAACGCGGTAGATCTCTTATCGGTTCGCGTTGTCGTATCGTTATTTCGGGGGGACCTACGTGTTTACAATCTCCGAAAATAACTTGTCCGTCAGAAGCACGAGTTCGCGTCGTAAAACTTTGTTGGCGTCGAAAGGGAGTCGAGATTCGACTTCTGGTTAGGTACTCCGAGTAGAAAAACCAAGTAGAAAGCGAAAATTTTCGAGAATACCGTGCTGCCATAAACGATCGCGTCGATCGTTGGATCGTTAATTAGATATTGTTGGCACGAGAAGGTTTTTTCATTTCGATATGAAACTATCATTTCGGTTGGCAAGCGAGAAAAACGAATCGGAGGTTGACGTTGTTTGCTCGAAATAGAATTCCTACGGCGCGATTGTTGTCGAAACATTCGCGTTTATTATTCGTCGACCGTCGGATGAAAAATAAGAAATGTGTCTCGAAATTCTGCCGCATTATCCGCGAGTCCTGCGAGAAAACCTAAGAATTCGCTCCTAAGTCGCTGGAGGTGAAGCCAGCGACCAGACGAACTCGTCGTCGTCTTTCCATCGATTTCCACGGTTAGAAAACGCTCTATTACGACGTCGAAACAAGGGAGTCTGCTCTAAACCTTGGTTGCATCGATAAAGTCGATTAATTCGATATCGTTTCGGATCTCGCCAAGTTTTAATATCGGAATCAGTAACTCGAGTAAAATATCAGATTTCTTATTTCTATTTTAAGTTATCTTTTTTCCGCGTCACCGTTCAAATATTCAGTGTCTCGTCTCGGGACGAAAATCGATTACGTACGGAGCAATTACTTTTTTCAATTTACTTTTAACGTAAGAGCAAGTATACGGTCTAGTCTTAGTTACCGAGGTGTTCTCGTCGTCGAGCTTAATATAAGTATAATCTTGCTAAATTCCAAGGATCCTGCTCGAATATCGGTTTTAATATCGTGGTTTAATATTAAGATTACAAGCAGGTAACAGAGATTCCATTTTCTGGTCTCCGTGAAACTTCCTTTGCAGAACAATGAACTTGAACGGTAAATGAAAAATTCTGTGAACGTAAAAACAGGTTTGCCTTTTCTGTTTCGCAAAAATTTCGAAACGTTTCTTTGTTCAACTTTGTTCGCGTTTGAAAAAGCGCGTCGACTCTTTTCTTGCAAAAAAAAAAAGAGGAAAAAAAGAATACGGACGCGCGTTCGAGAATATCCTAAACCAGCAGGAATGACGAGGTAGCGGCAGCTTTTCCAATTCGATGCTTTCCGATTGTACGATGGAATCGCGTTCGCCAAGGATCGTGTGTTCGCCTTAATAATCGGAATTTCTAATTAGAAGCGAGCACGAAAGCCGAGCTTTTAGCGTTATCGTAGGAAATCGGCTCCAGCATACCATTAGCCATTGCATTTATATTTACGAAAGCCACACGTGCGAGCACGTTGAACTTGCCAAGAATCGTCGTTCCTTTATTGCAAATATCTGCTCGTTGTTGAGTTTTATTCGATCTCCTTTTTACATTTCGGTCAGCTGATTTCCTTTTTGGAAATTTTCGACGCGAACGAGACACGTAACGATCGAACGAACGAACGAACGCGTTTTAATTACCGTGCTTATTATTGGACTTAATATAGTAGAAGAAAACAGCAGATAAATATTTGAATTAAAGAACCGAGTTATTTTTATCGTTATACGGTTTACTCGAAAAGTGGCGTAGTCGGAAAGTTTGACAAGATAATTTATACGCGATGGAAATATGACAGATTATTTTATTTTTGAGTTAAGCTTTGTTTTGTTGCCTGCGTTATTTCGGGTCGTAAACTTGACTAGATAATTTATTATCCTCCAGGAAACTACCGTTCTAGGCAACGTGAAATATTCTCGATATTCGTCGTTATTTGAAATCCAATTTCCTTCTATCCCGTCGACTAGAATAACTTGCACTTGATTTCTCTCTTTAACATCTACCGAGACTAGAGCTGATCGACCTCTGTTTAATTCATGAACTTATTCCCCGTATAATTTATTTTCATCCGTGATTCTTGACGTTCGTTTACCCGAGCCGCGTCGATTAAGAGGATACTTTTCTTTCTTCGAAAGGGTCGATTATCTACATTATACTACATTAGTAGATTGCCGTTATAGATCGGCAATTCCAATATCATAAATACGATCCATGTTTGTCATTGTTGCGTTTAAATAGTAAGCAGATATTGCAAGGCAAGGGGTTAAACGGGTCATTCGGACACGTTACGCGATACGGTCCAGGAATAGGAACGAAAAGTATTTGTCGTAGTTTGGCCCAGGTACAGTAGCAGAGTCGTTTCGCTAACTGAGAGCGTACTTGTCGCGAAATTGCTGCTGCTCTAATGTCTCGAAAAAGAGATTGTTAGCCGATTTACTGGTCTACCTTTTACTCTTCTCTTCGTATATGTTTCGAAACGATTGGAAATCGGTGCCGTTTCGTTCGAATCTTTGATCTGAACGACTGTTCAGAGCGCAGGGGCCTCGTCGGACACATAAGGAAACGAAACGTCGTAACTTTACGCGGACGACCCTGGAGGAACCAGCGGAAGCGTCGTTTCGGATCTTTCGCGTTCTTCGACGATAATAAAGATACCTTCGAGAAGCTCGAACGCTCTTATCGAGGTAACCGAGTCGTTTCCATAAAACTGGACTTTTTCCGATACGACTCGTTGTCCGTGTTTACCCGCGATTCGATTCTCGACCGTCTCTCGTTTTCGTCGAATCGATCGCGGAAAACTCGATAAACAATTAGCTCGTATACGCGTTCCGTATACAACGATCACCGAAATTCCGGGACGTTGTCGGAAAATTTGTTTTAAAAATGAAACGCGAGAAAAATATTGGACGCGCGTTCGTTTCGACGTTGCAACGTGATTCGCCTTAGTAGTCGGCCACTTCGTCGAACGATTAATTCAGTCTTGTCGGCAGTTATCTCGAAGTAGCTAGACGATTTTCATCGTCGAAGAATAAACGAACGTGACACGGGTTTTTATCGAATTTGCCTGCAGGTGCACGCGAACCGTTAGATGCAGTGGGTCAAGGTGCAGCCTTCGAGGGGATGCTCGAAGGCGCGTGGGTGGCCGTAGAGAGAGTAGTGGTTGAAAGAGGGAGAGATATCAACTGTGAAATAGAGTGACGGTAATGGTGTGCTTCGTGTTGCGAGAGTGGCCATTACAGTTATCGCAAAAGTCGCGTCATAAAGGCGATGCTGTGAGAACGTTATACAAGAGTACGAGAGTATAGAGGATACGCTCGAGACAGAGAGAGAGAGAGAGAGATGGATCGTAAAGGCTTCGTTCCTTTCGCGTCTTTTACACCGGGAAACATCGTTGTATACAACGGAGCCGCGTAATTCAATATCCGAGGCGACTTAATATCCAGGGTAGAAAATCGGTTTATCCGAATATTCGCGAGACGAGGTTGTTGCCTCGTCGAGAAGATTCGCGATAAAATTTCGTCGCTTCGATCGACGTTCACTCTCGTTGTTTCCGAGTTTTTCGATTCGCCACCGATTCGCGCGTCGAAGAAACTTTGAAATTGCTTCGGTGTTTGGATTATCCGAAGAACGATTAATTATAATTGTACGTACGTTTATTTTACAGGCGGTGAGTCGGTGGAATCGAAGGGCTGACAGTGTCCAGTCGTCTCGAACCGAGTACGATTCGTTTGAACGGTCGATGGACGAGTCGGCGCTTTAACATCGGCGATTCGCGAACGATAATTTCGCGTGATTTCGCGAGCGAGAGGAACTCTGGACGAGAGGAGATGTCCCGCAAATGGTTCGAGCGAGGAGACGACGCGTTCAAACCTCCGGACATTGGAAGATAGCGAGTCGAGATCGCTTCGTACGTTCAGTTTGAAGAACGATTCGCCGGACAAGGACGATGAGGATTCGCGATTCAGGGCTCGAAGGAACGAGGGAAGGATCAAGCAGAGCCTGAGCGATCGCGTTCGATCCTCGCGGAACGGTCAGAGGGTATCGGATTCTTCGGACAAGCGTAGATTCAAGTTGTTCAAGGACAAGAGTAAAAAATGTTCGGAAAAGAGCAAAGATCAGCAGCAGGCCGTGGATATCGTTCGCTGTGAAGAAGCGACTCGCGGCAAATTGCAGAAAACCGACTCCTTCCTGAGAAGATTCGTTAAAAACTCGAAAGACAACATCGCGGAAGGCTGCGAGAGGCTGGTAAGGAATATCCAGAAGAGTCCTCAGTTTCTCCGAAAGAAATTGTTCGATTCCAGCGACGAGGACAGACCCGTGCCGCCGATCAGAAGAAAAAGATCCAACGGCAAACGTTGGTTGACCGAGCCTTTAATCGTTAAATCGTCTTTCGGTGATCCGGAAGCCGTTTCCGTTGTCCGCGTAGACGACGAGGTAACACGGAACGATTCGCGCGAATCTCCGATCGTATCCCCGAAAGATTACGATTCGTCGAAAAGCGTGTCCATAGAGGACGTGGAGGATCTGATCAGGATAGAGGACAATCTGAGACTTTTGGAGGAGCGCGTGCTCGTGAGGAGACGTTTGGAAAAGTCGAGCAAGATCCTCCGAAGTCTTAATTCCGATCATCGAAGATCGTGGAGCGAGGAGAGGCTCGTTTCCGGTATCGAGCGGGTTCACAAGAGAGTTTGGGCAGGATCTCCACTGTGCGGAGTGTCCGCCGACTCGGTTTGCTCGCCGATCGCTCACGAACGATACGCGGTAGGAGAGTCAAGGTCGTCTGAGCGAAGAGACAAGGTAGATTATCGCGACAAGTGGTGGAAGGCTAAGCGATCGCCTCCGCCGGACGACTGGCAGGTTCAGAGGTCGTCGAGGGTCGACGATAAAGACGATAAGCTCGTCTCGGCAAGGAAGTCGGGGATAGACGGCGGGAATCGGTGGGAACCGCGAGCGTCGACCGTCCGCGTAAAATGCAAACTCGCGAATTTCGCGGATGCCCGACAGCACCGTGGCGGGGACGATCAAGAGAAGAGGCGGTCGGTGGCCGCCA